TGAAGTATATAAATTGTTGTTTCTCGTGTATCGTGTGTGCACTGACTACAGAAGCCATGTGTTGGACCCTCTGGATGTGGAGTTAAAGATGCCATGTGAGTGGATGTTGGAGATCAACCCTGGGTCCTCTGGAAGCAACCAGTGCTCTTAATCACTGAGCCCATCATCTCTCTGGACCCTAATCTGTTTTTAAAAACTCGTTATATTAGGTTAAATAGGTTATCAATCTTCCACTGTTGTAAAAAACATCATGAAAAGAAATACACATGTGACTTGTAACTACAATCTAGCTTCCTACACATATTTAATGTACTGTTCCTTAAATATAAATTATCACATAAACAACTTTCTAATATAAACGTAGCATTTCTCAAAAAACTTTTATTTCTATTTTTAAAGAAACCTTAGAAATTAATTAAAACATACAAACAAAACTAAACAACAATGAACATGTAATCCAAGTTCAGGATCCTAGTAGTCACGTTCAGACACGTCATGGAAAGAAGCAGCCTGGCTTTCTTGCGTTGCAATGACTTCCTTGCAGTGTCACTGGACACATAATCTCACTCCTGCTCCCATGCCTTTTCTTAGGCAATTCCTCCCACCCCACTCCTTTCCTTGATTCACTCTTATCTACACTTTGCTTTTTTTCTACGCCTTTCAGTCTAGCTGAGTTTGCATTTCTTCCATGAACTGTTATCCATGAATCTTCCCAAAAATCTTCAGTTGTTATAGAAATCCTACTAGACAAGTTAATCTAACACACCAGTCTGTTTATTTTGCTTATGGCCATTTAATCATTTTCATTTCTACCATCAACTTGTACTTAATAAAATCACATCCTGTTTAAAATGTCACAGTCTTGGGATGGCAGTGTTTATGAGGTTGGTCCTGTAGAGATCAAGAATCAAAATGCTTGTTCTCAAATCACGGCTCTACCATTGATTAGCAATATGAACTCAGGAGTATTAACCTGACCTATTCTCCTTATGCCTCAGTTTCCTCACAGGCATGAGAGAGAAACAAAGCTGAGGCTGAAGTAAGTTAAATGTAAAGCAGGGGTTGGTCCTCAAACTCCCTAACGCCCTGGCCTTTAATACAATTCCTCGTTTGTTATGGTGACCCCCACAATTAGCAACTATTTCATTGTTACTGCATGACTGTAATTTTGCTACTGTTATGAATCGTAATGTAAATATCTGATATACAGGGTATCTGACGTGCAACCTCAAAGGGGTCAGGGCCCGTAGGTTGAGAGTCACTGATGTAAAGCATCTAGAGGAAAGAATGAGACAATGCACACGCTGTACTGTCTCTGCTCCAGCTCACTGGACACACTGTGTCACGTTTCTTAGCCCCTTTGACTGTTGTGTCATCTCTATCCAAAATGCTCTTTGGCTTTTTTTTCCCTTAAACTATACAAGTCTTGTTATGTAGCCCTAGCAAGCCCAGAACTCAGTAACAAATAAGGTCAACCAAACATGCCCACCCATAACCCTGCCATGTGGATACATTTACTTGCTCAGTGGCATTTCTGAGTCAACTGAAGAACTATCTATTATCTGCTATAAAATCTGAAGAGTTTATGGAGTCCACAAAGGAGTAAAAGATGATAGGTACACAAAAGGCAGGTAAGACAGATGTTAACATCACTAAGATGAATTGTTAAGACTAGTAGACACACCTCACGTTGACAAAACTAACTCATGAATTTAACATTAAAAAGCATCACCTATGTATCCATGGTAATGCCCACACTCAAGCCCACCCATGACTATCTTTCTTTTGCTTGATAAACTTCAAGTTTACTTCAAAAGCAAACCTCCCCCCCCAAATTTCCATTTGCCTACAAAGGCCACATTCCTAAAATGCACATTTCTGAGCTGAATAATCAAAAACGTCAGGTACCCAGGCATGGCGGCGCACACTTGTAATCCTAACACTGAGGAGGCTGAAGAAAAAGCACTGCCTCAAGTAGTCTTGAGTACAAGGGGAGAAAGACCACGTCTCAAAATTACAAAACACGTGCTGCAAGTGTTTATTACTTCTTCCAGCTTTTGCTAGGCCTCCCGCAATGGTAAATGCAGAATAGGTCACCAACAAAGTCAACCAAAGGGCATACTACTCCAGTTTCCTACCTCCAAGGCAAAATGCCTACTGGGACAAAGTTATCGACTCCAGTCTTCTCCTTTTAAATTATTTCTATATCTGCCATTGCATTAAACATCTGGATGTGGGGTGCAGCTAAGTTAGTAGAGAGCTTTCTTAGCCTGTACAAAGTCCTGGGTTCAATCCTCACACTCGTAACCTGGACACAGTGGCAAAGGTCTGAGTTCCCAGCATTCTGGGTACTGAGTCTGGAGTGAGCTTGGGATACAGGAGACCCTGTATAAAAATGAAAAGAACCCTCCTAAGACTCCACAGCACTGTTTGGGTTCACTCCTTCCCAAACACCCTCCCTAGGTGAACACTGAGGCCTCAATAAAAGCAAAGCTCGGGCACTAAGTGATCTGCATAATGATCTCAACCCCTAAAACTGCAGGGGAGCAGTGGGCATGGCTCGGGGTACAACAGGCATTCAGAGCACAAGACCCAGCATTTCTTTCCCACTACAAAAGCAAAAAATTAAGCAGATGATATTATCCACAAGTAAGAGAACGAAGGCTTATGGGTGCTTAAAAACTAACTTCCCTGAAATAGCTATAGGAGTGAATTCTTCCATTTTTACAGATCACAATTTTCAAGGGATATATATATTAGGTCTGGAGGGTTTGCTATGAGCCTATTACAAGAGAGCTCTTGAAACTACAAATTTCAAACACAAAGCAATAAATAGTACTTGGTCAAACTGGTTTGGTTTTCTTTCTATCTCCCAGTGTCTGGCAAAGAATACATGCTCAATAAAAACCTGTCTGTCTAAGCCAACACTGTAAAATTAATTCCTAAAATAATTTGACCACAAGGGAAGACCTAACAGCTTGTTTAAACTAAATCAGGTGGTATAAAAATCAATAATTACACAAAATATACCCTCAGGTCCTAGGTGCTATTTTAGCTGATAACACAAAAAGGAAAAAAAGTGAAAATGGGAGAAATAAACCAAGTCTACCCTTCAAAGAGTCCTCATCCCTTTCTCCATCTTGACTTTCTGCGAAGGGTTTCACTATACACCCCAGCTAGTGACCTTAAACTAATTAAGTAGCCAGGCAGATTACAGGTGTGTGTCACTGGGCCAGGCACTATTTTTCAAAAAAGAACTGCAGTTGCAAAGCACACACTGTAAGCAAATTTATTGTCTGATTAGGCTAAACCTGTTTCCCAAGAACATAAGAAGGTAGAAAAGTAAAAGTTGGTTTATTAAGACACTAGTAGTCAATAAAGAACTCTATACTCATTTGCAAAGAACCACAGGTTATCTATGAAATCACCCAAATGTTAGCTTTCAGGGGATTAAAAAAAAGAGAGAGAACATCTTGTAACTCAGAAAAAAGTTAACACACTTTTTAGTTCTCATCCTACACACAGAATAGGTTACAGGCATTATGCAAGCACACGGCACTTGGGGATCTTTCCTTCTTTAAAAAAAAGATACAGTTTATTTTGTAATTCCTTAATTCAGTAGCTACACAAGTATTACTTTCTCTAGATGCTCAAGTTTCTTTCATTTCAAAACATCAGTCTTGAAGACAAATTCTCTTCTAAAAAAAAAAAGACTTAATCATGTCAACTCAAAAAGGGGGCAAAAAGTCAGGAGACAAAACTGGAGAAAGCCCTATTAGTCTTACATAACTGGTTTTAGGCCCAAAGATGAGCTCTTTAAAATATTCTCCATACAAATTTAAAAACTAAAAGGATCTTTTTTTTTTAATACAAGCAACTATTGAGGTGAAGTGCCAAGATAAACCAGCTAAATTAGATTAAAAATTAAAAGCAAAGGGCTGGAGAGATGGCTCAGCAGTTAAGAGCACTGACTGCTCTTCCAGAGGGCCCAGGTTCAATTCCCAGCAACCACATGGCAGTTCACAGCTGTCTGTAACATCAAGATCTGATACCCTCACACAGACATACATGCAGGCGAAGCATCAATGTACATAAAATAAATAAATTTTAAAAATTAAAAGCAAAGCCAGGCACTTTGGGGCAGAGGCAGGCAAATCTCTAAGTTTGAGGCCAGCTTGATATATATATAGATATATATATATAGCGATAGAGAAAAAGAGAGAGAGACACGTGCCCAGGAATTCTTATTATAAGTAATATTATAATTGATAATATTGGATATAATTTAAGAAAAAGAAGCTAATTAATACTAACTTTTGCATATTATTGTGTAACTACCCATTATCTACCAAAGAAATTAAAAAGTAACTTTCAAAAACAATAGATTTCTGTTCTTCCAACCTGTAAGCAGAACTCTGAAAATGTAGTTAATTACTCCAACCTAATTAAACTGCCTTTAATTTTTGCAAATTATTTCATCAGGTACAAATAAGTATCAAACCTTACAAAAACATTAAGTTTACACAGCAATGATCCTACCAGGCAGGCCCTGAACTGAATTCAATTACAAACTATGTGTTAACTACTTTCACCACGGTGACACTTGAGCCTGGATGTAACCCTGGCTGCAGATTCCGGCACTGCTTTGGGAACTGCTGTTTGCTTAATCAAGCACTGAACTGCAGACTCACCTTTCTAAAAGGACCCAAGAAAGCAAGAGGTCAAGTTTCACTATCTACTTCTCCTAAACGAATTAGGGTTTGGGATTTCACTGGGAATGACCAAGCTATCAAGAAGCCATCGCCCGGCTGGGACATTTAATAACAATACCTTCCCTGTTTTTCATGCAACCACTTTGATTAAATTTCCACTACAATCCAGACACACAAAAAGCTGATTCCGCGGCTCCGGAGAAAAGGGCCCTCCGTGGGAACAGACCCTGAGACCGGGAAGAGGGAATGGGGAAAGAAAAGTAAAGAGTGTCGTGTCGTGACAATTACCTTGCTCGTCTTGTGGTCAAACCAGACGAGGGCATGGTTCCTTGACAGCACTTTGCAGTCGAAGGTGGCGTTGTTCTGCGCTGGTCGACAGCGTGCCACCGAGCGGCCGATCTTGATGGGCTCGTCCAGGTAGACATGACGCTCCTGAAACGGGTGCGAGTTCGGGCGGCAAGTGAAGATGGCCAGGGCTGACGGCATCGAGGACAGGCTGGGAGGGGGGGGCGTCTGTACCAGGGACAATGAGGGGCTCCTCCAAGGTGCGGAATGCTCTTCACAAGCCTCTACCCCTATCCCCCCACGAGGTTTAAATCAGCACACACGGCGCACTGTCTAAGCATAACCAGTGAACATCAACAAGTCTTCAGCGGTGCGGGACGACAAGCCAGCGCAAGCCCCATCACCTCCTCGGAAACACAGAGCTTCCCGGACCCACAGATGTCCCCCACCGGCGGCTCTCAGTCCATCTTCCCTAGGAAGAAGCAGCTCAAACATTGGGCAGCTTCGGCCGAGAAAACTCCGGGAGGACAGTTTGGGGACGGGAGGTATCCAGGCAGATGAGTCACACACCACCGGTTCTCGCGTTCCGCTGGAGATCCCGGCCGCTTCTGCCCCTCGGTAGTAGCGGAAACGTCGCGGCACTGCAGCATGAAGAGGGCTGGCCGGGTGCAGCCGGGAAGGTCCTTTGGGGGCCCCGCGAGGAAGGGGAGCCGGGAGGCCTCCGGGCAGCCGCCGCCGGTGCTCAGGGCTCTGGGGGAGGAGAAGCGCGGGGGTCCGCGCGGAGGGCTAGAGGGCCAGCGGGCCGAGGCCGCCCGGGAGTGGCAGGGGTCCCCGAGCCGGCATGAGCCGGCCGAGGCTGCGATCCCAGGCTGCGGGCGCGGGCGGCCAGGAGCCGGGGGGCTGGGACGGGGAGGACGGACCCGGGCGGCGTCGGAGTCGCGAGTCCCGGGCACCTGGCGGGCGTCCCCGCGAGCAGGGCGGGGATCCGGCTCTGCAGGCCGGTGCGGTGCGGGGACAGAGCGAGGCGCTGCCCCGGGGGGAGGCTGGGGCGCCCGGGGCCGGCGGGAAGTTGGTTCCGGAGCTCGGGGCTCTTGCGGCTCAGCACATGGGTCACCTCCCGTCAGGGTCGCCTCTCGCAGGGACCCGCGGCTCCCGGAGGACGGCGGGGTGGGGGAGGGAGGCCGGCCCGGAGGGAGAGGCAGAGGCAGAGGCCTGGAGGCCGGGGCTGGCTCCGCCGCAGCCTCCTCCACTCGCGGCCGGCGGGCGCGGCGCAGCTCAGGCGCGGGCGGACGAGGCAGGGAACTTTCCGACCTGCTGGGGGAAACGGCAAAGAAACGGCGGTCAGGAGCCGCCGGCGCCCGCTCGCCCCAGCCCGCGACCCCTCCGCCAGCCCCCGCCAGCCCCGGCCGCCGGCGACGACCTCGGCCGACCTCCCCGCGGGCAGGCTCCCGGGATCGGGAGCCGGGACCGCACGCCCGGCCGCCCCCCTGGCCGCCGCCGCCGCCTCGACTTACCTTGCCAGCGCCGGCCGCCATAGTGACTCTGACTGAAACCTACCCGGTGCACCGCCACGGGAACGCGCAGCCCGCTCCAGGGCCCTCCTCCGCCGTCTCCCGTGCCGTAGCCGGGCACGTCACGTGAGCGACGCCGCGGGGGCCATGTCTGTCCCTGGCAGGGAGGCGGGCGGGCTCCTTCCGAGCCGGCCTCCGGCGCCATGTTTGTTAAGGGCCGGAAGCTTCAAACCTCCCCCCACCACCACCACCACCACTCCCCGCACCACCATTTTGGTAAAGGGCAAGGGAAACTTGGAGGGGGTTGGATGTTTTCAAGAACACTCAGCGGCGACTTCCTGGTTCAGCCTGCGAGTGAGAGAGTCCTAGCTTTTTAATCCAGCGTACTCACTCTAGATCTCACGGAAAACACTCTCACACCTAAGTAGGGCAGACCCGGGCAAAGGGAGGACCCCCGAGCAGCCATTGTGGCTGTGGGCAACTGAGTCACTCCCTGCCGCCTTCCTTCCCGGGGACCGAACCGATTCCGCGAGTCCCTGGACTTGGCAACACCAGAAGGACTTGTCCTCGCTGTGCAAAGTCTCCCTGCTTTGTGCATGCGGCTCCGATTCCTGCCCTCAGGACTCCTGCGTGGTCTCTAACCTACAAGTAGTGAGACCAGAGAGTTAGGTTTTGTTTTGTTTTGTTTTGTTGGGGGCGGGGGCTGGGGGCTGTGAGTTCGAGACAGGTTTTACTCTGTGTAAACAGCCCTGGCTGTCCTGGAATTCTCTATGTAGACCAGGCCGGCCTCGAACTCAAGAGATCCACCCGCCTCTGCCTCCTGAGTGCTGGGGTTAAAGGCCTTGAGACCCAGAAGTTTTAAAACACGTTTCCAAAGACAGGTTGAACATTCCTAGTAAGAAAATAGAGAGTGCTGCCCAACTAACAATCCGGAAGTATGTATTAAACCTGAGAATCGGGAGGAGAAAGACCAGTATGTAAGGAGTTATTGTTCTAAGGAATAAAATAAAAAATGTAGCCAGAGCTTAATGAAACGGTAGACACTGTTCTTCATTCTTCATGTTGACTTCATTCTTTAGATTCCTGTGACCACAGTCTTCCCTGTGAACCCTTGGACATGTCTTTAAACTTCTTTAGGATGCTTTTTCTGTCTTCTAAAACATAGTGATCATACATAACCCCCTTGTTGAGAGAGTTCATGATATTAAACCACATTGTCCAGAAGAGTATTCATTTCACTATTTCTGTAAGGCTTTCAACCTTTGCTGAGTCCAGAGGACACAGATGAACACAGCCTTAATCTCTGCCCTCTGGTTGTGTAACCAGTGTTGTGGCTTTGAGACTGAAGGAATAAAATAAAGTAACTTGACTTTAATATATTCAGGACTCTGCTAAAGGGAGTCAGGGACATTCTTCTGGAAGAAGTAACAAAAACTGAATGAAGGAAGGTTGAACGACTACAATAAACGTGGTATTTGCTGAAAGGTTTGCTAAGTTTCCAGGAAGAGGGATACCAAGTAGTAAAACGAGGCTGTTTAAAACAATACATCAGTGTGCCTGGAACAGTGGCTAAGTAAATATTTAATGTATGAATGCAAATCACATAGTTATTATTCGATATAGTCAGACTTTCTTTGGACTGTCAGCTCCCGAGTAATGACTCGGTAACTTTTTATTAACTAGCCATAGTTTAGGCTTGTCCCCAGCTAGCTCTTTAAAGCTAAATTAACCCGTTTATATAAACTACATCCTATCTCGTGGCTATGTGATCTCTCCTTAGTACTATCCATCCAACTTCCTCCACATCTGGCTGTAGAATCCCCCACCCACCTCAGATTCTTTCCCAGAGTTCCTCTCTCTCCCGGAAGTCCCAGCTATCCTCTCCTACCTAGCTATTGGCCATTCAGCTCTTTATTAAACCATTCAGAAGGTGCCTTAGGCAAGTGCGGCAAAACAGAGAGACATCTCCACACAGTTTTCAAAACGATTATCCCACATTAGAGGATAAAGTAGGGGCAGCACAAAGTGAATTTGGACACAGACTATATTATAAAGATGTCTGTGTGTGTGTGTGTGTGTGTGTGTGTGTGTGTGTGTGTACATGTGCATGCACAAGCACTCTTGTACTTGAAGCTTAAATTCAGTGAGTCACTGGTTTAGTTCAAGGCCTCTGGCTTCTGGTACACCATCATCACTGGATCCTTAATAGAATTTCTCTGGGATACCCTGTGGCTGCCCCAAGCCTTGGAGATCTTTCTGGTATCATTCCACAGAACCAGTCCCTTCACGAGCTCCAGCAGGTCTCAGATGGGGCAGATGCTAGGGTGGGCCAGCCCAAGGTCTGACCATGGGCCTGGCTGGTAGCTGAGCCATCACAGAAACTATTATAAGGCAGACATTTAGTTGAGGGGCCTTTCTTACAGTTCCAGAGGTTCACCCTACTATCAGCATGGTGGGAAGCATGGTGGTGTGCAGGCAGACGCGATGCTGGAGCAGCAGGAAGTCAGCTGTGACACTGGGCAGTATGCTAAGCATAGGAAACCTCAAGACCCACCCCCACAGTGACACACTTCCTTTAACAAGTCCATACCCACTCCAACAAAGCCACACTTCCTAAAAGTGCCACTCCCTATGAGTTTATGGGGACCAATTACACTCAGACTACCACAAGGGGTAAGAGAATGAGTGGGAAGGAGTCAGAAGTCAAGAACTTGTCACCAGTGTAGTAGACTATAGTTGGACTTTTTCCCTCAGGACCGCAATAGTGACAGGGAGATTTATTAATTATGAAAGCTCAGCCTATAGCTTAGGCTTGTTACAAACTAGCTCTTACAACTTAACCCATTGTATTCATCTATGTGTTGTCAGGTGACTTGTGGCTTCTACCTTTTTTTTGTCATGTCTACTCCTCACTTCTTCCTCCCAGCATCCTCTGTGCCTGGAAATCATGCCTGACTATTCAGCTTTTTATTAAATCAATCCAAGTGACACATCTTCACAGTGTACAAAAAGATTATTACAGTAGACTTAACATTTTCATTTTTCTTCTAGAAGGCCAAAGTAGAGTAATTAAAAAAAAAAGACTTTCAGAATCAAACATGATGTCTATTGCCATTTACCAACACAATAGTAAATTTTTTAACTTCACGAAGTCTGTTTCCTCATTTGGAAAAGTGTATTTAATACTTCACAGAATTTAATAAGATAGTGCAAGAGAAAATATCAACCATAATGTCTGGAAAACAGGTGCTCTGAAAATGTTACCTTATTATTGTTACTAATAGAATTTCCCCAGCCTCTTACACACACACACACACACACACACACACACACACACACACACGTATGAACAAGATGTTTTACCTCCAGTTTGTATATAGAGAATCTTAGCTGTCAATGGAAACACAAGAAGAAATGTGTATGTTCTGTTCTACTGTACTACCTCCCAAGATTAATGTTAGCAAACAGAATGAGCTTTCTAGCAAGACAAGGCTTGGAACTGCTATGGCCTGCCAGAGTGGAGAATCTCGCCCTACTACAGGGGCCCTGGAAATGCCAAATGCATTGAAGGCGTTCTTCACCCACTCTTCTTTGGCAGCCACAGAAAAGGCTTAAATTAAGAACTCTCATACATGAGATATTTTGAATTGTAGGCCATGTGGGTGTTCTTTCCTATGATTCTGTATCCTTACAAATTTTTAATTGAAGTAAAAGTATGCCATGGATTTTTGTT